CGGGGGTCACCACGTCCCTACCCCACGGGTGAGAGTGACCATGGTGAGGGTGAGGGGTCACCACGTCTCTACCCCACGGGGGACAGAGTGACCATGTGATGGCCCCGAGAGCCCTCAACCCCCGCCCCTCCCAGCACCACACAGTGGCCATGGCAAGGGCCCCGCGTGAGGCCATCTTGTGTGTTCATTTGGTGTCCTCCCATCCTGGAGTTCTCCGCACTGCTGCGCCCAGAGCCGAGCTCACTGACACCTCAAGACTGGGGTTCTCTTAGTGGGCAGGACAGGGGAGGGTTGTGTCGCCGTGGCCTCAGACAGGAGGACACATCCCTCGGTGCCTCCTGGTCACGGTGTTGTGACTCACTGGTTCTCATGTCACTGTCAGGGCACTCGTGGTCATGTGTCCAGCTGTAAGCTGGTTTGCTTCTCACATGGCTCCATCTGAGCTCCCTGCACCCACTGTCCCTTCTGAGGTCAGCAGTGGCCAGCCCAGGGCTCTGGCCGTGTCCCCGGTGTGAGGGCTGAGGCCCACTGTCCTTTCTGGCGTCAGCAGAGGCCAGCCCAGGGCTCTGGCCGTGTCCCTGCGTGTGAGGGCTGACCGTGCTCTTGTCCAACAGCCATATCTCTGAAGATGGTGGAGCGGATCTTCTCCGGGGCAGTGACCAGGTGCGTACGGCCTGGGTCCCCGGTTCCCAGCCATGTCCACCCCACAGCTGGCCAGGGACCCCTCGGGAGCCATGGGGGAGGGAGGCCACAACTCCATGGTGGGTTGGAGTCACCACAGTCTTGTCCTCGGACAGTAAGTGGGTCCTCTTCAGGTACACCATGTGGGCCCCAGTGGGGAGGGCTGGGGGGACGGACATTAAAGCTGTGCTGGCCAGTGTGAATTGATGACCGTCCCCGCCTGTCTGCAGAGGCCGGAAGGTGCAGAAGGAGGGCAGGATCAGCTATGCGGACTTTGTGTGGTTTCTCATCTCGGAGGAGGACAAGACCACCCCCACCAGGTGTGAGCATGGGTGGGGGGTGGAGGGAACGGGGCAGGGGGTGGGGGTGGGGGCTGCTGTCATCAGAGGAGACACGACGAGTGAGGGGGGGGACAGTGCTGTCCATGGGAGGGGACAGAGTGAGCGAGGCCATGAGGGGGGTTATAGTGCTGTGCATGGGGCGGACAGAGTGAGTGAGGCCGTGACGCTGGAGGGGCGGGGACAAGTGCTTTCCATGGGAGGGGACAGTGAGTGAGGCCGTGAAGGGGGGGACAGTGCTGGCCTTGGGGGGACGGGGCGAGTGAGGCCATGACGGGAGAACAGTGCTGTCCACGCAGGAGACTGTGGGTGGACGGGGTCAGGACACTGCCCTTGAGTGCCCTCAGTGTCCTCAGGAGAGTGGTGGTTGCCCGAGACGTGCGTGCAGGGGCTCTGGGGCCAGATGCTGCATGCGCACACGGCCAGCTGCTAGTGACCACGCTCACGCCGCGTGTCTGACTGGCCCTGACCCGGGCAGCACGGGGTCCTGACCCCCTCGTGCGCCCCGACAGGGAGGGCACCCTTCCCACGCAGGCGCCGGGTGAGTGACCAGCGCCTGGTGATGTGTGTGACCCCGTGTCCGTGCCCTCCCATCCCCCGCGGGCAGCATCGAGTACTGGTTCCGCTGCATGGACCTGGACGGGGACGGCGTGCTGTCCATGTACGAGCTGGAGTACTTTTACGAGGAGCAGTGCCGCCGGCTGGACAACATGGCCATCGAGGCCCTGCCCTTCCAGGACTGCCTCTGCCAGATGCTGGACCTGGTGCGGCCGAGGACCCCAGGTGGGTGGAGGACCCCGACCCTGGCCTCCTGCCAGTGCCCAGCCTGGTGGGTGTGGTCAGGACCAGGAGTGGGCGTGATCGGGACCAGGAGTGGACAGAGGCTGTGTAGGAGTGGTCAGAACAGGTGTGGGCAGAGGCTGTGTAGGAGTGGTCAGAACAGGTGTGGGCAGAGGCTGTGTGTGTGGGGTCAGGACAGGTGTGGTTGTGGTCATGGGCTCTGTGTGTGTGTGGTGTGGACCAGGAGTGGACAGAGGCTGTGTAGGAGTGGTCAAGACGGGCATGGGCGTGGTCAGGACTAGCAGTGGGCAGAGGCTGTGTAGGAGTGGGCAGGTTGTGTAGCAGTGGTCAGGACAGGAGTGGCCTGTGGGTGTGGGTGTGGTCGTGACCAGGAGTGGGCGTGGGCTCAGATGGACGGGGACTCAGCGCCCCAGAATTGCAGTAGAGGTGGAAGCGGGGTTTGAGCCCTAAGTTGTGGGGTCCAGGGGGTCTGGAGTGGGTCCAGACAGCCAGGTGGCTGAAGGTCCGCCTTGTGGAGAAAACCCCAGTCGTCATAGTGACCAGACGGACTGACCATCCCTCAGCCCCACAATCCAGCTGTGCTGTCCACATCGGGCGGAGGGCTTTCTCAGACCGCCTGATCTCGCCGGGAGTGTGGCCCCGTGCCGGGTCAGCAACCGTGCGTGGTCACCGCGGGTCCTCAGATGCCAAGGGGCAGACCAGGGGTCGTCCGGTGCGTGTCCTCACGTGCAGCCCTCTCACGAACCTGGCCCAAAGCGCAGGCCTGCACACGCTCCGATCGCTGACACGCGTCCTCCGCTCACTCACCTCCCCGTTTCCTGGGGACATGCAGCCCTGTCCACCTGGGTCCTCTGGCTCCGGCACTCACACCCCCTCAGATCTCGAGCTCTTGTCTCCTCACTGCCCCTGCCCTCAGTTAAGGCCCCCACATAGGCCCCTGTCCCCGTGGCTCAGGGAGTCCCCCAACCCTCAGCTCCCCGAGTCCTCAGGGCATGCGGTTGTGGTTCCTTCAGTTCCCCAGGCCCTGGCTCAGGTGTGCACGCGGCCTGACCCCCTAACCCTGTGCCCTCTTCACTGAGGGGCTCGCTCACAGCCCCCGCCCCCTCCCCAACTCTGGAGCCCACACTCAGCCCCCAGCCCACCCCCTACTTCCCTCCTGAGGCCACACACCGCCCTGCCCAGCCTAGCTCCCCCATTTCCCCACCTGAGCCCCAGCCCAGCCCTCCAGCCCTGGCACCTGTACACCGCTCAGCCCAGCCCAGCCCCCCACGTCCCCTCCTCAGCCGTGCACAGTGCCCCATACCGGCCCCCCACCCCCTCAGGCGCCCCCTGGCCCCAGCCTGTGCACTCAGGTGTGTGCTGCCCACAGGTAAGATCACCCTTCAGGACCTGAAGCGCTGCAAGCAGGCCAGCGTGTTCTTTGACACCTTCTTCAACATCGAGAAGTACCTGGACCGAGAGCAGAAGGAGCAGGTGTCCCTGCTCAGGGTGAGTGGGGCCTGGGGGCACCCCTGAACTGCACCCCTACTCACAGCCAGTGTAGGGGTCCCCCGAACTGCACCCCTACTCAGTCAGTATAGGGGTCCCCCGAACTGCACCCCTACTCACAGCCAGTGTAGGGGTCCCCCGAACTGCACCCCTGCTCAGTCAGTATAGGGGTCCCCCCAAACTGTGTCTTCACCCAGAGTCAGTGTAGGGGTCCACCCTGCTCAGGGTGGATGTAGGGCGCTGGGGTCCCCGCTCTGGTTGAGTGTGGGGGTGCATCGAGACGCTGCTCCCCCGCAGGACGGTGACGCGGAGGGCCCCGAGCTTTCTGACTGGGAGAAGTACGCGGCCGAGGAGTACGACATCCTGGTGGCCGAGGAGGCCGCGGGGGACCCCTGGAACGACGGGTAAGCGGATCCCCGGCCCCCGACGTCTCTTGCTCGGCCTTTTACCCACACGTCGACTGGCCCCCCACAGGGAGCCCCCCTTGAAAGTCAGGCCCACAGAGGCCGCTGCGGCCAGAGCCCAGCTGGTGCTGCCGGCTCACCTGGGGCTTCCTCCACGACCTCGAATCTCAGCAGCCTTTACATCAGACAGAATCGCCAGGGGTCCTTCCAGAAGGTTCCTCCACGTCTGACTTCCCCCAGGGCAGTGTGAAGGGTGCGGGTCCCAGAGAGCAGTTAGTGTGAGGGGTGGGGGTGCCGGCCCAAGTTAGGTCAGGCCCTGTGAAAGGGACTGCTCCTCCCCCACTGCCGTGTGGTCAGGAGGGTCCGGTCCTGCAGGAGGACACCCTGCTGTGAAAGGTGGATGGTCAGCAGAGGAGAGGAGGCCCCTGGACGGGATAGACTGAGGGTGGCAGCTTGTCGGGGACGGCGCAGGACGGTTCCCTTTGACGTCGGGTCACTGTGCCGCCCCTGACGGGTCCACAGAAGGGCTGTGTCGGCGGTCAGTCAGCTGACCGTGGCCGAGGGACTGTCTCTGATGTGACTAGTCGGGTCACGGGAGGGGTTGTGGGGCCCCGTCCCTGTCTCCTCACATCGCGTGCTGTTCTCTGTCCTCTTGGGTGTGGGAGTCGGGTGTCCGTGTCAGGAGGCCCTGGATGGTGCTGACCAAGTGGACCCCCAGACCTTTCACCTGTGGGCTGTCCCGGCCTCTGAGTGTCCACGTCCAGCCGTGTTACTCGTGTTCCTCTCCCTTCACCACAGGCTTTTGTGTGTCTCTGCTGTGTGTGTGCACGCGTCCGTCCCCATCCCAGGGTGTGTGTGCGTGTCTGTGTGTCCATCCCAGCATCCCGGGCTCCTTTCTTCCCTATCTGTCCTCTCTCTCTGTCCTCTGGGGCTCCGTCTCTATCCCAGTTTCATCCTCACCCCTGAGCTGCGGCTGCTGGTCAGCCAGCAACCCCCCCACCCCCCCTCCCCGCGGACGGGGGTCCCTCACGAGTGACAGCCATGACCTTCGCCCTGGCCCTGGGGTCGGGGGTGAGGAGATGGTCTTCAGGCTGTAGGGACACGGTCAGTGGCCTTTGCACGTTAATGATGCAGGACTTGTAGCTTCACAGGGGTGATGCTTACATGTCCTTAAGTCTGAGGTCATGTGGACGGAGCCGCCCAACTCACGACCCTTTCTCCCTGGGCTCTGGGGTCAGGGGGCGCTAAGATGGTCTTCAGGCCTTGGGCACGTGGTCAGTGGCATTAGTACGTTACTTATGCTGGACTTACAGTGTTAGTGGGGGTGTTTAGAAGTCCTTGACTCTCCGGACATGTGGATGCAGGCTCCCCGACCCTTCCTCCGTGCTTGTTGGGGTGTCTTTGGGGGACCCCACATGGCGTCGTGGAGAAAGAGTAGGTCCAGGCTTGTGGACAACTGGCGGAGGTCTCCATGCTGGGGGTGCAGGACCAAGGGCCAGGTCAGTGGGCAACTGGTGGTGGTGTCCATGCTGGGGGAGCAGGACTGAGATCTGAGTGAGTGGGCATTTGGCTGTGATGTCCACCCTGAAGGAGAAGGTCTGAGATCCGGGTCAGTGGACACCTGGCTGTGATGTCCACCCTGAAGGAGCAGGTCCGAGATCCTGGTCAGTCGGCGACTGGCTTTGTCCACACTGTGTCCTGGTACCACCTGGTTGCTGGACTTGGCCTCCTGTGAGGTCCTTGCCCGAGCTCTGCTTTGAAGTGGCCTTTGCCGACGTGGCCGGTGGATCGGCGTGGACTGAGTAGGTCCACCACCTGAGGACCCAGTGGACAGTAGGCGTGCTGGCCGGTCCCGCCCTGCCCTCACGGCGGCCAGTCAGTTTCCAGCCATCGCGTCCGTCCGTCCTCAGAGGCCCCTCGTTCCCACCTCCCCCTCCAGGACGTCTTTGCCTAACCGGGGCCCCAGTGACCCCCGCCAGGCCCCCAGACCCCGTCCCGCTCACCCCGTGCTGCCCGCCCCGTCCTCACGGCCCCTCTGCCGCAGGTACGACCCTGAGCTCAGCCCCGTGGACCCGAAGCTGCGACCACAGCTGGACACGAGGCCCTTCCTGGACGCGCCGGGCGCCATGGACCTGTACGAGGCCGAGGACGGGCCGCAGCTGCTGTGACCGTGGGCGGGCGGGAGTGGACGGAGGCCGGGCCGCCAGGCGGAGCCCCTCCCCCGGCCTTACACAGACGGACGGAGGGACAGGGGACTGCGTCGCCCCCGCGCCGTCTCTAAAGAATCACGTGCGTTTGTATGGATGGTAAATTTTTATTTATTCAGCACTGAGCTCTGGGTGATTATTGGGGCGAGGGCCTCACCTGCCCAGGTACAAACACACAGGCACCTGTGGCGACCCTGCCCTCTGCTGACCCTCGTGCCCCTGAGGCTCTGCTGGGCGCTGACCACACGGACAGCGGGGCTTTCCTCCAGGCATGGCGAGCCCCTCAGAGCGAGGTGGACACCTGGACACGTCGGCGGATGCACAGAAACGTGCACGACCCCACCTCCCAGATGTGCGTGTGTCCGGCCTTCTCACCCACAGGGGTGCTGGACGTGAGACCGGGGGCCCTGCCAGACCCAACTGCAGCCCTGCCAGCCAGTGCTAACAGTAGCCCCTCACACCTGCGTCCAGCGGCAGGGCAGGGTCCACAAATCACCACAGCAGAGGGACTTATGTGAGCGTGTGGCCGTCACAATGTCCACTCTCCAGTGTCCAGGGTCAGGGGCGGGTCCACACTCCCCCACGCCAGGGGGACCACCAGTCATCACAGCCGCCCCCACACCAGGGTCCACGGTCAGGTCCACACACGTCCACGGCAGGGGGATGTCTCAGCCAGCACTTTCTGGCCGGCAGCGGTCATCCCAGCACCAAGAAAAGGTCTCGGGTGATCCCAGGACTGCGCACAATGTGTGGACTGCCTGGCCAGGGCCTACCCCCCAGGGGCCACGCTGCTGACCTCATCGCCTCCGGACATCCGTGACCTCGTGACCCTGGGGTCATCCCAGTCCCCAGGCACGAGGACCAGGATCTGGACTTGGTCCTCAGACCTCACTCTGGTCCTCACGTCCCCAGGTCAGGGGGTAGGGGACCCTACCTCAAGTCACTGTCTACCTGACCCCCCAGCCCTGCTCTAGGTCAGCCGTGTCCACTAGACCCCACCTCTGGTCAGGGTACCTTCATGTCCACATCCCAGGGAGAAGGGAGGGAGGGTAGACGTGGACATGAACAGGGTGGGGACATGTCAGATGAGGCCTGTCCACCACAGAGGACAGAGGGGCCGGGGCTCTTATCCCTTCCCAGCGGGTCTCAGTAAAGAGCCCGGCTGGACACGGCAGGTGAGGATCGAGTCAGGGAACCCTCATGTCCACTCCTGTCCCTTCCGAGTGGGTCTCAGTAAACAGCTGGGCTGGGCTGGGCACAGACTTGAATAGGACATGGACACGGCAGGTGAGGACCTGTCCACCAGAGGACCAAGTCAGGGAAACCTGATGTCCACTCCTGTCCTTTCTCAGTGGGTCTCATTAAACCAGCCGGAGTGGTCACAGACTTGAATAGGGCATGGACATAGCAGGTGACGACCTGTCCACCGCACTGAGTCAAGGAACCCTGATGTTCACTCCTGTCCTTTCCCAGTGGGCCTCATTACACTAGCCGGGGTGGACACGGACTTGAATAGGGCGTGGACACGGCAGGTGAGGACCTGTCTGCCGGACCGACTCGGGGAACCCTGATGTCCACTCCTGTTCTTTATCAGCGGGTCTCATTAAACCAGCCGGGGTGGACAGGGCCATGGACCGTGGATATGTCGGGAGATGTCCCACCTCGTGCACTGTCTCCTGCTGTCCTGACTGCTGGGGGCCCCAGTGTCGACTGTGCACTCATCACTGACCACCTCGGTCTTTCTCCAGCTGTTTCAACCGCCTGCTGGCCCAGTGGTCAGGGTTCTTCCTGCTGTTGGACTGGGATCCATATGAAGGAATTCCATTGTCCAGTTCTCTTCATTTTTTCCGTTTTGTCCTCGGCGTGGTAGTGGCTCCATGAGGCCAGCCGAGGGAGCTGCGGGCGGCCACAGTTCACAGGGAGGTGGGGTCTGAAGGAAAGCTGGACCGGCCAGCTGGTGGCTTGAGCCGCTAGTGACCCAGGGTGGACAAGCCGGACAGTCCTCTCCCCACCACCTCTTGTGATTGACCGCTGACTCCCAGCTCAGCTGTGATTTGGTTGAGACCCAACAGCGAGGTTTGACAGGTCATTTATGATTGAAATCTATATTCTGTGTCCCCAGGGTGGGTCTGAGAGAGGTCACGGCCTCAGTGACCGCTAACAACCGTCTTCTGGGTCTTTTCCTGGTGCGTCCTGCTCGTCCAGTCCCTCCCTGGGATTATGTCCACCCCTCCGATCCTGTCTTCTTTGGACACACGGGGGTCCTTTCCACCTAGTAGGGTGGGTCGTTCTAATGACCAGGGGCCTCCCTTCTGTCACACTTGACCCCACACCAAACTGACCAGTGCGTGTGTCCTTGTTAACAGACACTGTAGGCTCTCTCCCTGAGCTGCTGGTGGGTTTAAACTGCCCACCTTAGGGGTCAGCACAGCCCTTAACTCATGCTCCCTCTGGGCTCCATGAAGTACATTCCCCTGGTCAGGGCCTTCCTGACCCGCCTGGACTACAGACCTGTCCCCCGTGCCTGACTTTTCCTCCTCTCTGGGTGGAGGTGTCCCCAGCACACCCACAACCCCCACCAGCCAGACCACTGGACAGCACCCAGGACTCGGAGACCACCCCATCGGTGGGACCAGGACCCCTGGACTTGCGCTGTCCAAGATGGACAGTGTCCAGATGAGTGGACTGCCTCATGGGAGGGAGCTGGGGTGCTGCACGGTCGTCAGGAGCCTGGATCCCTCCATCCCCCAAATCCCCTGTCCACACGTGGGGTCAGGCCCGGCTGGAGGGTCAGCATTTGGACCTCAGATCGCCCCTGGGGTTAGGAGATGGACTAGGGGACATGGTTGACAGTAACCCTAACGCAAGACAGGCGCAGATTTGAATCCAGACCCACAGAGCTGGTGGGCGCAGGACCCTGGACTGGGGTCCACATCCCCAAGCAGGGCTGGGACCCCCGGGGGTCAGGAATCAGACCCTGGAACAGGACTGACCACGGGGCAGGGCTCTGTTCAGAACCTGAGCAAGGAGGTGCCATGGGGACAGACGGCCACGAGGGGGCGCTGTCTGCAAAGAGGACTCCACTCCTGCGGGGTCTGCCGCGGACAGCGCACGCGCCAAAGTAAAGGGGCACGTGACACGGACCGGCCAATGAGGAGCGGCTTGTAGGCAGGGCCAAGCCCAGTTGGTCGCAGCAACAGCGCACGCGCAAGACGTGGTACGTGCTACGTCACGGCCAATGAGGAGCGGCGTTTGGTCACGCCCACTTGGTCACATGGACCAGTAAAAGCGCACGTGCCAAAGTTAAAGAGCACGTGACACGTCGCAGCCAGTTAGTCACATTGGGGAGACATGTGGGCCGTCCGGGCCGCCGTCCGCGCGGGACTTGGACTCTATCGCGGGAGCCGCGGCCGCCCCGCCGTGAGGGATCCGCAGCTTCGGCCCGGCCCTGCGTGTGCGTCCGCCGCCTTCGGATCCAAGGTTCAGGGGCGCAAGGTCGGAGGATGGGGCCCCCGGGCGGGCGGGCGGAAAGCAGCGGCCCAGGACCAGGGCGAGCCGGAGGACGCACACGAGGAAGGGGGCGAGGAAGAAGAGGAGGAGGAGGAGCTGCTTATCCAAGAGCCCCTGCTGCCGCCGGGCGCCCAGCGCGTGTGCCTCGTCCACCCTGACATTAAATGTGGGCCCCGGAAGCCACAGCTGACCCGAGGTGACGGGGCGGGGCCAAGGGTGGGACATCCGGCGCGAGGCCTTCCGGGAGGAAGGCGTGGAGGTCTTGATGGGCGGGGCCAGGGGCGGGGCTTTAAGGATTCGGGTATCTGCGAGGGGCGGGGCTATTGGAATGGCGTTATCTGCGAGGGGCGGGGCTTTAAAGAACCGGGTCCCTGCGAGGGGAGGGGCTTTAAGGATCCGGATACTTTGAGGGGCGGGATTTTAAAGATACAGGTACCTCTGAGGAGCGGGGCTTTAAGGATCCCGGTACCTGCGAGGGGCGTGGCTTTGAGGATGGGTTATCCGTGAGGGGCGTGGCTTTGAGGATGGGTTATCCGTGAGGGGCGTGGCTTTAAGGATGGGGTACATGGGAGGGGACTTTGAGGATGGGGTATCAGTGAGGGGCGTGACTTTAAGGATGGGGGTATCAGCGAGGGGCGTGGCTTTAAGGATACGGATACTTGTGAGGGGCGGGGTTATAAAGATCCAGGTACCTATGAGGGACGGGTCTTTAAGGATGGGTGTCTGGGAGGGGCGGGGCTTTAAGGATGGGTACCTGTGAGGGGCGGGGCTTTAAAGAACCAGATGCCTGCGAGGGCTAGTGCTTTAAGGATAGGTTATGTGATGGGGCTTGATTTTAAGGATGGGATACCTGCGAGGGGCAGGGCCATGAGTTTGATGGAGCCTCCAGGTTGGGGGACCTTCAGGGAACTAGGAGGAGTGGAGGAGGGGACCCTCCAGGTACGCCTGGACTTATTGGGTGCACTGGGGATGGTGTTTCCAAGGGAGACAGCCTTTGGGGTTATGAAGGATGAGGTGGACCCTCAGAATTTGATTGGACTGGACAGTGGGGTACCCTAAGTGAAAGAGAGGCCTTTTGCAGGAGGGTAAGGGGTGCGTGTCCTCCCAAGCTTGGTGAGTCCTCTGTGGGTTGTTCATTTTATGCAGTATTTGCCCCACTCCTTCCCTGTGATTCTCATTTCTATCCTTCCTGTCCCTTCGCTTCTGGGTCTAGGGCGAGCCTCTGAGGGGCGTGTCCTTAAGGGATTGGCGGGCCCTCCACAGGTGGGTGGGGCCTCCAAGGGGCATGTCCTTTGGGGATTGGCAGGTCCTCCACCAGTAAGTGGAGCATCTGGGGGGCATGTCTTTTGGGGATTGGCAAGTCCTTCACTGGTGGGCGAGGCCGCAGAGGGGCGTTTCTTTTGGGGATTGGAAGTTCATCCATAGTGGGTGGGGTCTCTGAGGGGCGTGTCCTTCAGAGATTGGCAATTTCTCCATTGGTGGGCAGGGCTCTCAGGGGCGTGCCTTTTGAGGATTGGCAGATCCTTCGCGGGTGGGTAGGGCCTCTAAGGGGTGTGTGCTTTGGGGATTGGCTGTTTCTCCACTGGTGGGTGGGACCTCCAAGGGGCGTCTCCTTTGGGCAATGGCTGGTTCACCACAGGTGGGTGGGACCTCCGAGGGGCATGTCCTATGTTGATTGGTGAGTCCTCCATGGGTGGGGCCTCCAGGAGGGACAGTGGGTCTGCAGGGAGGGGGGTTCCCCATAGGGGCACAGGGCCTCGTCCTCTTAGGCTGTTAGTGGCCTGGGCTTGTCCTCCAGGAGGTGGGAGCTCTGAAGGTGGTGGTCCTGCGGGGGGCACAGACCCACAGGTCGAGGTGGACGTCCCCCCAGTGGTTTTAGCGTTGGCCCAGAACAAATGTCAGGTGTAAAAGCTGCCCAGGAACCCTGGGCGGGAGTGGACAGCTGGCCCTGGATGACCTTTGCCCTCCCAGGGTGACCCTCGCCCTCCCAGGGTGACCCTGCAGTCCCAGGTGACCCGCCCCTTGCCCCCCTCCCGCAGCCGAGTGGCAGGTGGCCGAGGCCCAGGCGCTGGTGCAGACGCTGGACGGCTGGTCAGTGGTTCAGACCCACGTGGTGTCCACCAGGACTCCCGACAGCAGGATGCTCTTCGGCCGCGGAAACCTAGACCTGCTGACAGGTGAGCCCGCGAGACAGGGTCCCCTCACCCCCACCTCCCTTCTCTGCGCAGGTGGGGGAGAGGGAGGGACGGCATAGGGGCAAGTGTCCAGGTGTGCCCTGCAGGTGTGTGGACAGGTGAGCTCGGGGACAG